AATTTGGACTTCTTCCTTCAGTACCAATAGTTTTTGACCATATGCTACCTCTTGAAACAGTTGACTATCCACCATTTCTTTATAGTACAGTGACTGCATTTCCCCATCTTCTTTTGATGTTTTCTGCATCATTCAATATTTTGTCCATTAGTGCTGCTGAGTCAGTTTCAACCCATAGCAACCTTGTATAGGGTTTCTGAGGAGTGGCTGGTGAATTTGAACAGCCAACTTTGCAGTTCAAACTGACTTTGCAAATCCAGTGCATTAACCCACAGGGCCACACTAGGACTCTGTTTTGTCCATTGTTGTTGTTGTTAAGTGCTATTGAGTCAGTTCCAGACCCACAGTGACCCTTTATAAGGTTTCCAAGGAGCTGCTAGTGCTTGAACCGCCAACCTTGCAGTTCAAACAGCTTTGCAGTCTGGCGCATTAACTTGCAGTGCCACACCAGGATAGAATCCCACACCTACATAGAATCCTTCAATATTGAAACTAGAAACTAGAAACTTGATTTTTTTTCCTTCATTTTTTTTTTTTTTTCCTGCTTGAAAAATACTAAGCATGTTCATTCCTTTTGGTTTCTAACTCCAAATCTTTGCACATTTCATTATAGTACTTTACTTTGTCTTCTCAAGTTGCCCTTTGAAATTTTCTGTGCAGCTGCTTTACCTTCATCATTTCTCCCAGTCACTTTCACTTGTCTGCATACAAGAGCAAGTTTCACAATCTCTTCTGACATCCATTTTGGTCTTTTTAATGACTTTTCCTTTCCTCATGTATGATGTTCCTGATGTCATTCCTCAACTCCTTTTGGTCTTCAGTCATTTGTGTCTAATGCATCAAATCTGTTACTAAGATCATCTCTAAATTTAGGTGAGATATATTGAAAGTCATAATTTTGGTTCTCAAGGACTTGTTTTAAATTGTCTTCAGCTTCAGCCTGAAATTGCATATGAACAATTGATGGTCTGTTCCACAGTCAGTCCCTGGTCTTGTTTTGGCTGATGACATTAGCATCTCCATCATCTCTTTCCTAAGATGTAGTCAATTTGACTCCTGTGTATTACATCTGCAGTACACCACAATTATAGTTACTGTTTATGTTGTTGAATAAGGTATTTGGAATGAATAAGTCATTAGTCTTTCAAAATTCTATCATGTAATCTCCGGCATCATTTCTATCACCAAGGCCATATTTTCAAACTACAGATCCTTCCACTTTGTTTCCAATTGCCAGTAATTATCAATATATATTAATCTCCGGCATCATTTCTATCACCAAGGCCATATTTTCAAACTACAGATCCTTCCACTTTGTTTCCAATTGCCAGTAATTATCAATATATATTAGTGTAGTGGTTACGAATCGGGCTGCGAACCTTAAGGTCAGCGGTTCGAAACTACCAGCCGCTCCGCGGGAGAAAGATGAGGCTTTCTACTCCCGTAAAGATTTACACCCTTGGAAACCCTGTACAGGGTCGCTATGGGTCGGAACTGATTCGACGGCACTTAACAACAACAACAACAACAATTGATTAAATATATTAATTTCAGACTGAAGAAAATGGTTATTGTTGTTTTTTAGTGGTAGACTCTTAATATCCTCAGCATTAGTGTTAGTAGTTGTTGTAAGCATTAGTGTTAGTAGTTGTTGTACAAGTCTGAAAATTAGTGGTATTAATTTAACTGGTCATCCCTGAAGGTGTACGGATATTAGCCTACCACAGACAGCACTGTACTTCATGATAGATCTTGAAACATACTTCTTTGACAATGAGTACAATGCCATTGCTCTTCACTGTGCCATTCCTAACATAGTAAACCATAGTAAACTGATTCAAAATGGCCAAAATTAGTCCATTTCAGCTCACCAATGCCTAGGATACCGATTTTTATGTTTTTGATGACTTTCCATTTTAAGACTCTATTTTGTACTTTATACATTCCAATTACCATAGATGTTTGCAGCCGTTTCTTCTCATTTTGAGTTGTGCATCATCAGCAAATGAAGGTCCCAAAAGCTTTGCTACATCCACATCATTAAGGTACTTTGAATTGTATTTTGAGTGCCTTCCAACCTGAGGGTCTTATATTTCAGAACTGTAACAATGTTCCATTGCTATTCATAAGGTTTTCTGTTGCAGACCGTGAAGGCTTGGTCAGAGGTTCGAGGCCCTATAGGCCCGAATGTAACAGATCTAGGCACCTGGCAGTTAATAACAAACTATTTTTATTAATTGCAGACATGAAGCCCTTGATATACACAGATAAATGTAATATTTTCCTAAAAATCAAGACTGTAAAATTCCAACAGGCAAAGTTCTTCCCTCAGAGAATTCATTCAAGGTAAATTGGGTGGCTCCCTGGTCTGTTCCAAGGACGATAGGAATGCCCTCCCTAAAGTGTTTCCAGGTGCTGCCTATTCACCTAGGTGCCTCTTTTCCTGAAGAACCTCCCAATCCTCCCTCCATTTGAGGCTAGGTGCTAAAAGGTATGTTAATTAAGCTTGAGAAACCAAGTTGCTGTAGTGAGATTCGAACCTGCAAAGTATGATGTAAAGTTGCCTAAATGTCTGGAAAAATAAGATTGACAGCTGTATCTTGTCTTAGTCCCCTCCTAACTTTGTGTAAAGTATCTCCCCTAAATAAAAGGAAGGCGCAGAACGAATCCAGGTGCATTACGACTGGCAAGGCATGCCTTACAGCATGCAGGGGGCACAATCCAGCCTTGCAACCATACTGCCTGTTTAGCTAAGATGTTTACTATGCAGGATATTACAGCCTTCGTGGCTGAGATGTTTGCAACGCAGGATGGGCCTGATGCCAGTCCAGCATTCACTCTGGTTTCAGAGTGTCTCTTTGCATCTCTGTGTCTCTTTTGCTATCTCTATCGCTGCTAGATCTCCCCTCCTCGTGAACCAAACACTCGTGAACAACACAACTATGTCGAGGCAAGTCCCGGCAGTTTTCAGTAGCTAACTTTTCTCAGAAGTGGTAGGCCTTTCCTTCTTTCTAGGCCTTTTTTGTGTGGAAGCTTCACTGAAACTTGCCCCCATGGGTAATCCAGCTGTTATTTAAAATACCAGTGGCATAGCTTCCAGAATCACAGCTACACACAAGCCACCACAGTACAACACACTGACAGAGGAGTGATGGAAATAATATATAGAAGATGGCAAAAAAAAATTGTGGCACTGTAGTATAAGAACTGGACTGCTCCTTGGAAACCCTATATAGGGTCACTATTAGTCAGAGCCAACTCAATGGCACTTAACAGCAACTACTAATTTAAAGGCTGGCAGTTTGAACCCACTCAGTAGTACCATGGATGGCAAGCCTGTTTTTCTAAAATCGGTTTCCTTTAATATTGTTGTTAGCTGCCATCAAGTTGATTCCAACTTATTGTGGCCTCTTTTGCATGCAACTCTCCAGGTCAGTCTTTCAAGGCACCTCTGAGGTGGGGTATATACCGCCAACCTCTCAGCTAGTAGTTGAGCACTTAACCATTGTGCCAGCCAAGGAATGTCTCTCTTTTAAAATTGTTGTTTTTGTTAAGTACTGTTGAGTAGATTCCGACCCATAGCGACCCTGTGCAGGGTTTCTGAGGTTGTGAATCTTCACGGGAGCAGAAAGCCTCATCTTTCTCCACGGAACAGCTGGTAGCTTCGAACTGCTGACCTTAAGATTCGCAACCTGATTCGTAACCACTATCAAAACTTTAAGTAGCAATTCTACTTTGTAACACATACAATTTATGATATTACAGTGGCTTATAAAGGGACTGGACAATATATGGCTTATGAAGGGGTCATCATGGGCCGGAATCAACTTGATAACAACTAATAACAAAAGAGTATGAACTCTATGGTGGAGGTTTATTGAAGTAATTAAAAATAACATAAAATTCCTCTTGGTACATGGAGAAACAATATTGTGTCTATGCCTATTTTTGTTCTAAACATGTCAATGTTTACTTTTGTCAATATTATACTACAGCTAAGAATGATAACTGTATAAAATTCCAAGGCACATCAAACTCAGGAATGCTTTAGGAGGTTTAAAATTGTTTTTAATGTGCAGGTGGTTTGTATTTTGAATATCTGGCTTTAAGCATTTAGACAACTATGATACTTCAACTTCAAACAGCTATCAAGGTCAAAAATAGAGTCAATTTAGCCAAGACCACTATTCTTATCTCTTGATCATAGGCCAAAGGGATATATTCAAAAGAAGAGGCTTGTCCTTACAAGTGACTTCAAGGACAGCGACTCTACATTGTTCCTTGTTTACTACTCCCATGGCTAACCTTCTCCATTACCCAAGAATGTCTTTGGTGCTGCTTGACTAAAGTTGTAAATTTTAAAACATTTTTTTTTCCTTCTTGTATCTTGCATCGAAATAGAAACAGTTTAAAGAACTTTAGAACTAGCACAAACTGGGGGCACATGTAACCTTCTTGTCAAACAATGACACTTTCATGAATATTTTATTAAAAATACAGACAAAATATGATCACTGACCTATAATACACACAAAAACATTTCTCTTCCTCACAGCTTCCTTTGATTAATGTAGCTTAGTATTTTTATGTGTGAATTTCAGGCAGACAGAAGCGAGGCTAATGATAATGGTTAACTCAAAATGACTAATATGGCAGCCAGAATCACATCAAAATTAGCAGAATTGATGAAAATTAAACTATTATTTACTAAATCAAACTACTGAAAAATCTATCAAGGAAATGTAATGTAATAGAGTACACTGATCTCTTTTTAATAAATGAATTGTTGTTATTATTGTTAAGTGCCATTGAGTCTGTTTCGACCCATAGGAACCCTGTATAGGGCTTCTGAGGAGCAGTTGGTAAGCTTGAACTGCCAACCTTGAGGTTCAAATGGCTTTGCAGTCTAAAGTATTAACCCACAGCACCATACCAGGACTCCAAAAATGAATTACACATTCATAAATATAAACTGACTTAATCGAAAATATAACACTTACCAGTCATTGATGGTGCTTCTTTTCTCTGCCCTTTATCGTCTACAGTCCCTTCATAAGCCACTGTAACATCATAAATTGCATCTAAATAATTCTTCATAGAATCAAAAGCGACATGAGTTGCCTTTACTCTTGGTGTCAGCACATGTTTTAATACTGCAAGGCCTGAAAAAGAAGTTGATTCAGTGTGGTCATAAATCAGTTACAAAGCAGCTCTATAAGAAAATAATAGACACCCAGCTTGTTTCTAAATTTTCACAAATAGACTAGAATATATTAATGCCACAACCTCATGTCTATAGGGCTTTGTATCTTAAAAGGCACTTGGCACTTGCACATGCCTTTTTCTATTTAATCCAACATTCATTCAATATGCATATATTAAACATTGACACACATGTACAAAACACTATTGGAAGCTGTGGGATAAATAATAGTATCTGTGAAGACGCTTATGACTTATCACAGACTCTTCCATTTTAATAAACATAAACAAGGATAAATATCATTATCCTCCTTTCTGGCTACTGAATAAAGGTGATAGCATCTTGCCCATGGTCATTCAAGATATTTTAGGACTGAAGTCCATTATTTTCTGATTCCTATCCATGATTGAGGAGTCCTGGTATGGCAATGTAGGTTAAGCACTGGACCACTTTATCCAAGATATTCTATTGTGATCCAATGAAAGAAACTGGCAGTGGTAACCAGACACTGTATAATTCTTCTGGTCTCAGGGTCATGGAGGCCGAGGTTTCAATGATCCATTAGTCCTCTACAGTAATTCTTTCTTTGCATCTTTATTTTCTTATCCATTCTTTGCTCAAGACTAGGGGATACCAATCGTTGACTCTTAAAATGGCCACTTGCAAGTGTTAAGCCTCTAGTAGGTTGTAGAACATTGTCTTTGTTCACTATTTTATGTCAATTGATCTAGATGTCCCCCTGAAACTGTGGCCCAAACCCAAGGACTCATTCCATTCCCTCAAGTTGTCTGGTATGACTAAGAAGCTCCCATAACCCTGTTCCGTTTGCTCTTCTGTATACACAGATATATTTGCAGCATATCTAAATACTTACGTAAAAATATCTTCTGGCAAGCCTATATATATATTCATGGGTAATCCCAGTTGCCTTCTAACACCTAGTTAGCTTGAATGTCTATGTAAATTGACTTGAATATTATTTCATCACCCCAAAAAAGATAACCACATTACCCATTAAGGAGTCCCAGTGTGGCACTCTAGGAAAAGCACTGGACTGCTAACAAACACCAAGCCTGAGAGTTCAGATCTACCAGTCACTCCTTGAAAATCCTATGCACAATTGCTATGAGTAGGAACTGACTCTACTCAACAACATTACCCATTGGAAGACACCCACCTTTCCTCCTTCCACTAGTCCCTGTCTACCATTAATTTATTGTTGGTCTTTATAGATTTTCCTATTCTGCACATTTCATAAAAACAAAATAATACAAAATGTGTTTTTGTATTTGGCTTCTTTCACTCACCACAACGTTCTTGAGGTTCTTCCATGTTGCAGCACGTTTCAGTATTTCATTTCTTTTTATAAGTAAATAATATTCCATTATAAGAGTGGACATTTTTATCTATCAATTGATGAACATTTGGATAACTTCTAATGTTCGTCTATTATGTATACTGCTCTTCCAATCAGTTGGCCAGGTGGCTATTTCCAAATTTCTTAGCATAGATGAGTAAGTTCCTCCAGGTTGCATCAAATTGTTGAAAGAGTTCAATTTGCAGTACATCAATTCCCAGAGTCTTGTTCTCTGCCAGTACCTTCAGCGCACATTAAATTTCTTCCAGCAACACTACTGGCTCTTGATCATGTGCTACATCTTGAAATGGTTGAAAATCAACCACTTCTTTTTGGTACAGTGAGTCTGCATTCTTACCATTATCTTTTGATGCTTTCTGCATGAGTCAGTATTTTGCCCAAAGAATCCTTCAGTATTGCAAGTCAATGCTTGAATTTTTTCCTTAGTTCTTTCAACTTTAGAAATATTGAGCATGTTCTTCACTTTTGGTTTTCTAACTCCAGGTCTTTAAACATTTCATGATAAATACTTGACTGCCTTTTTATGCTGCCCTTTCAAGTTTTCTGCTCAGATCTTTTACCAACTCATCTCTTCCATCGGCTTTAGCATCTCTGTGCTAGAGAGCAAGTTTGAGAGTCTCTTCTGAGATCCATTTTGGTCTTTTCCTTCTTTCCTGTTTTCTTAATGATCTTTTGCTTTCTTCCTATATGATGTTCTTGATGTCAAACCTCTTCTGGTTTTCAGTCATTAGTATCGAATGCATCAAATCTGTTCTTGAAATAGTCTCTAAATTAAGTGGGATATATTTTTGTTTTTGTGTACTTGTTTTAATTTTCTTCAGCTTCAACCTGAAGTTGCATATTCCACAGTCTGTCCCTACCCTTGTTTTAGCTGATTATATGGAGTTTTTAAACTGTTACCTTCCACAGATAGTCAATTTGCAAGTCATTGGTCTTGCAAAATTCTGTCATGCAATCTCCAGCATTGTTTCTAATCAAGAAGGACATATTTTCCAATGACTGTTTTCATCTTTTGCATTCCAATCACCAGTAATTATCATTACATTTTGATTGCATGTTTGATCAATTTGTGACTGAAGAAGTTGAAAGACTTTTTCCACTTCATCATCACTGGCTTTAGTGGTGTGTAAATCTGAGTAATAGTGGTATTAACTGGTTTTCCTTGTAGGCATGTGGATATTAGCCTATCACAGACAGCATTATACATCAAAATTGATCTTTCAATGTTCTTTTTGATGATGACTGTAATGCTATTCTTCTTCAATTTGTCATTCCAGGAATAGTAAACCTCCCAATTATCAGATTCAAAATAGCCAATACCAGTCCATTTCAGAAGTTCACTAATGCCTAGGATATCAATGTTGATGAATTTGCTTTCATTTCTGACAACTTCCAATTTTCCTAGATTCATACTTTATACATCCCATGTTCCTATTATCAGAGGAAGTTTACAGCTGTTTCTCGTCATTTTGACTTGTGTCTCATAAGCAAAGGAAGATCCTAGAAGCTTTACCCCATTCATGTCATTGGGCTCAACTCTACTTTGATGAGGCAGGTCTTCCCCAGTTGTAGTTTGAATGCCTTGCACCTTGAGGGGCTGATATTCTGGCACTGTATTTGCCAATATTATGGAATTCTTCATCATATTTCAACATTCAATATTCTGTTACTACATGACAGGGTTCCACTGATATTCATAAGGCTTTAATTGGCTAAACATTCAGAAGTAGTCTGCCTTTTCTTTATCTAGTCTTAGTTTGGAAGCTCAGTTGAAACCTATCC